GCTGTGCAGGTTTATTTGTTATAGTGCATTACATGGCAAATTCTGTCCAAAATAGAGAAAAAGACACAAATGTAAAAAAAACTTGCATTCGATAGAAGGAAGGAAGGAGGGGGGAGAGAAAAAACTAATATAAAAACCTGGAGAAACACTAAACATGTTTTGCGTTTAAATACAGACGCTTTCTCAACATAACCCATATCACCCCAAAAGGTGCTTTAAAAAGGTAAGTTAGCAAAGGTATTTTGTTATGCTCCAATGACCCGCTTCACAGGTACGCGAGTTTTCAAATTGATCTTAGAGTCTGTTATTCACCAACAATATAATCATATGAAGAGATCCAAAAATACTATCAAGATAAGTATGACTGTAAATAAAAGGACAGTCTTAGAGCATTATGTTCCATATCAATATAAAAGGATAATTTTACCCATAATAGGTTAATAACGGTTAGACCAGTGGTTTCCAAATCAGTCCTTAAAGCACGCCTGCTAGTCCAGGATTTAGGGGTTACCCAGTTGTGTCTAAGGTTTTTATTGAAAAAAATACCCCCACTTCTATCTACAAAGTGTCTAGATATATATGTAATAGTATAATTTAGGGGAGTGCAAATATATATATATAAAAGTTAATGTATACCTAGTTAATGTATAACGTTTGTGGAAAATTAACCCATGATTACGTTTGTGTGTTTGTTAACATCATAAAATTGTGTGCAAGGTGCATGATATCACCCAACGCACATTGGAGATAACTTTCTACTTTCCCACACTGCAAATATTGTCTCAGCTTGAAGATAGTATGAAGTTATATAAAACAGACCTTCCACCAAGAGAAATGTAGCAGTTCCTCTTAACTTGCCCAAAACAGCTCTTGGCTTTGATTGTGAGTATTCATTTTCTTTGTTTTTGACCTGTACGTTTTTTTTTTGCATGGTAAAATATGGAATAATTTTTATATTGTATGGTTCAATATAATTTTCAGTAAGTATTATACATTCATTTTATTTTTACAAATATTTTTCTTGAATACGTTTTCTTTTTACTTCAGCTTCATATTTTGTACCTTGTGCACGTACTTTTTTTTTTGCATTGACCTCAGCTCATACCTGTTGTTTTTAGCTGTTTTCTGCTTCCATTTTAATTTGATTATTCTGTTTTTCACTTATAGGAGAAATGACGTTTAATGAAGATTACCAGTTGTTAGTCAAGGGCCTTTCTGAGCTGGACTTCATTGCAAATGCTGTACCTTGCAAGCTGCTCCTAACTGGAGACTCTGTGTTCCCTGTGCTGGTGACCCCTTCAGGAGATGTGCTCATCGCTGCTTCTCGCTATGGGAAGGGTCGAGTGGTGGTTGTGGCTCATGAGGCTTACCTGAACAACTCAAACCTCTTGGGCTTCATGAAGAATGCAGTGTCCTGGCTGAAACCCTCAGTAGAAGCTGTAATTGGAGTAAACAAGAATCTCCACCTTCTGTCCAAGTTACTCTGTGACAATGGTTGCACAATTAAAACCATTCCTGACGATACCCAAGGTTTGGGTGTTATATGTATGGATGGCTATAACGACAGCCAGGCTAAAGACATCATCTCCTTTCTGCAGGAGGGGGGAGGTCTATTAATTGGAGCTCAGGCCTGGCACTGGTCCAGCTGCAATAAAAATAAGAATGTTTTGTTAGATTTTCCTGGAAACAAGATAATATCAGTGTCTGGCATTTACTTTCTCAATAAATATGGAGAGAAAGGGAAATTTAGTGTGAGTAAAGACATCCCACGCTGCCCAGTTAACACCGAGTGAGTATTTACAGACTAATCATATACAAAATCCTGCTGCTCTAAAATGTTATTTAGCTAAAATATATTATATGTCATCAATTTCCAACGTACAAATTCAGAGTTGAAGGGGAAGGTAATTTCATACACAGGTCTAATGAAACCCTGTAGGAACATGATCACAAATCCACCCTTGTCTTTTTACATACCAGGTTGCAGTTGTCCATTATACATCCGGTTAAAGTAGCACAACCATTGAAGCAGCAAGATGCATTTCCACTGTTTGGATCTGGTTATGATGACTAGAGTTTGTCCTAAGACAGACAAATGATTCAACTTGTTTCGACCTTGAAAATCCTAATATATATTTAAATATATATATTTATACAATAAAAGTTTACATTGCTATATATCAATCAAGATTTTATACCACATATATTTTGCAGCCTGTCAACCTCAGTTATAAAATACAGTTAGAAAATAACCTAATATTATCCCTTAGTGAAAAATATTTATTATACAACTCTAATATTTTTAAAAACATAATTCATAAGATTCTTTATAAAATAAAATAGAGTCTGTATCACCTGATACAGACTCTATTTTATTTTATTTTATGTCTTCTGTAAAGTTTTTTTTTTTTTTTAATTCTTTATTTTTGTTGTGCATGTTATAAATAGCAATGACGTACGCCACAACAGCGTGTCTGAGGATGTACTGAAATTGAACAGTGGCATGAGGAATTGCACAGTTCTATATAGAGATAACAATCATCAGCTTGGCTAAACAGTTTAGTCATTAGAATAGAGTGAAAAGAGTGAAAAAGTCAACGTTTAACAATGCTAGGCTATTTATGTTGTTTATGCTAGCTTAGTTGTGCACATTTTTAAGATACTTATAAAGAGGTTGGGCATGGTGAAAACATGCAGCTTGCATGTGCCAGGCATATCTAAGTAGTTGTGTCGTCAGAGTAAATTAGAAAATCAACGTTTAACTATGTTTAATTAGCTAAGCTAGTGTACAAGTTGAGTAGGCATTATAAACAGGCTTATTAAGTTATCTAGGGGATTAACAGCATGCAGTAGCCAGACACACACAGCACCCCCAGACACAGCCCCCAGACACAGCCCCCAGACACAGCACCCCCAGACACACACAGCACCCCCAGACACAGCCCCCAGACACAGCACCCCAGACAGACCTACAGCCCCCAGACACAGCGCAGACACAGCACCCCCAGACACACAGCACCCCCCAGACACAGCCCAGACGCAGCACCTCAGGAGCACGCACAGCACCCCCAGACACAGCACCCCCAGACACAGCACCACCCAAACACACAGCACCCCCAGACACTCACTGCACCCAGACACAGACAGCACCCCCAGATACACACAGCGCACCCAGACACCCACTGCACCCCCAGACACACACTGCACTCCCAGACACACACAGCACACAGACACACACAGCGCACCCAGACACACACAGCACCCAGACACACACAGCACCCCCAGACACACACAGCACACAGAATGTGACAGCAGATAAAAACACCCTCACACACAGCACCCCTCTTACATACACACACTGTGCCCCTCACACATACTATAAGTCCAAATATATATATATACATACACAAACACACACACACACACACACACACACTACAGCACCCCTCACACTGCACCACTACACACATTACGCTCCAGATACACACTAGATCCCTTAGCCTATATGCACTCTTAATCCTCTACACACACACAAACACACACACACTGGGTCATTTACACAGTAGATCTCCTACACACACACACTACATTCCTTGTCAGCAAACACATACAACATTCTCTAAACACACCCTCTCTGCAAACCCTACACACACTACGTCACCTATACACACACACTTCAGCCCGTATGCACACACTCGCTGCATCCCCTATAAAACTATGCCCCCTATACACACACTCTCTACAGCCCCTAGCCACACATATAACACCACAAACACAAATTAAATTGACCTATTTATACAATACCACACCACACTCTACACACACGCAATCCCACAAGCAGGCTCCAAACATATGCACCATGCACTTTCCTGGCCCTTTTGTTCTCTGGTATCCCACTTGTGGAGACACCAGAGACTATTTAAAAGCAAACACAGCGCAAGCATGTTATTAAATTTGCTTGCGCTGCGCAGAACAAATTCAGGGCCTTTTTCTAATGCCAGAGCTCTTCAGCAGGGCTCTGGGCATTGAACCAACATGCTCACTTTGAGAGGGGGCGTGTTGTCATTAGTGATGACAAAACACACACTCTCTGGCCCCGCCCCCTTCTTAGGGGGCCGCTCTGATTGAAAAATGCCCGGGCCTAATTTTGTTCCCAGTCCATGTAGTACGTAATCTTCCGGTAGTACGCTTCGTTCCAGTTACGTATTGCTGCATGCAGAGGGAGGAGATACTGAATCCACCACGGGATGCTGTGCACAGTGCTGCCCTGTGCTCTGCTGACAGCAGATCTGAGTGGATGGAGGCACATTATGCCTCCATCAACTCCGAAGTCCTTCTGGTTCACTCTGAGTGACTGCAACTGGAGGTGTTCCTAGCTTTCAATGTAAACACTGTATTTTCTCAGAAAATACAGTGTTTACACGAGAGAGGCTACAGGGAGCTATAGTTCTCACCTGAACAACATCATTAAGCTGAAGTTGTTCAGGTGACTATAGTGTCCCTTTAAGTAAAATTGTAATCACAGAAGACATTCCTTTTGTTTTCGCAAATTGCTGGGAATAGGATAGCAAAAGATTCTTCAAAATTCATTTTGTTTCTTGCGAGTACACTTTTTCTATCTCCAATCTGTTCAGGAAAATTACGTTGTGAAATAGTCAAGAATTAGTACTGTAACTACTGTAAATTGTTTCCATTTCCATTTGAGACCCATATAGATGGAAAACAAGTGAAATCACTGTGGGTTCCAAAAGAAACATCATTTGGTAGTAACTCATTGTCCTGCACCATGGGATTGCCATTTATTTTACATCCAGCAGCAGAATGATGAGCAGTGTTTTGATCACAATCCTGTAACAAACACGGTTTCCCATGTATAAACCATATAAATATATTATTTATATAAATTTTATATATATTTATATATAACATAAATACAAATTAACTTTTAGATTTTCTCAATTTCGGATTCAAAAAAAGTGTTACAAACAGCATGGATGCAGATGAGGGGACTCGGATGGAGCAACTGGGGGGGAGCTTGTGGGACGCAGTGGCCTTCTCTCCCCCCTCCTTTTTTTTTCCTCTCCTCTCCATCTTTACCGACACCCGACAGAAACCGCTCAATGTGCTCCACAGACCTTAACCTATACGGACGACCAACCACAGACAGCACCCAGCAAATCTTGAGATACGATAAACGCCCATATCATTCCAACGACCTCCCCTACCAACTCACCTATAAACATTACCATAGACAGCTACGATACCCACCACTACACAAAAGTAAGATCCCCGCTCAAATCATCAACATGGACACCAAGATGAATCCAGGGTAAAGGAGGGGGGGGGGGGTGGAGCATGGATAACGAAAAAGGGAAGATCATCAACTAAACCGGGACTAGACAAAAGATGAACCAGACTCATATATTATATGCAATGTAAATGCAAACTCCTCTGCGAGGGAAAAAAGTTACCTTGTCGACCTCAGACATTACGGATATAGAATGTACTATGCCTCTGTGCAGGCTGCAATTACTGTATCAAAGCTATGCTAATAATGTTTCATATACTGCTTACTACACATGCATTGCCTCCCCTGCGTGGGAACACTATTTCATGCTCAATAAAAACGGATTTAATACAAAAAAAGAGTGTTGGTATGAAAAAGAAAAGAGAAAAATCCACTGTAAAAGAAAAATACCGCCACTCCAAAATATCAAGGGGGTAGACACAGCAGAAAATGCTTGGTATAATATCGTTGCTTGTCCGATAGAGATCCTGGTGCTTTCATCCCGGTGCTGAACTGATCCTAAATTAAACATATGTAGTATACCAATATTTCCACTGAAGTCCGTACACTGTAATAGCTCCAAAATAATGCCACAAGCATATAATGAAAAGGTACACAATTTATTAAAAAATAGATAGAGGAAAAGATATAACAAAAGTGGCAGAAACTAGTAGCCCACCTAATATGATGTTACTTCCAATATGTGCCCCAAAATCCAGTGTGCAACTAATATGTACATTCTAATAGGTGGAAATGAACACCCTGCATCAAAAAGGAAAAATGGGGAAGCCAGAAAAAAGCAAAAAGCAGCTGGGGATTGAACATCTCCTAGGAGGGGGGTGGGGGGAACACTGGAGAGGTTTCCAACAAACCTTCAAAGAGGTCATGGACACATTTCGTGCCTGTCTTTGAACTTTCTTCCCCCTTTTTTGCTTTTGGATACAGGGTGTATAACTTTTTTGTTATATTCTTTCCTCTCTTTTTTTTTTTTAAATAAATTGTGCACTTTTTCATTACGCACCTGTGGCATTATTTTAGAGCTACTACCATGTGTGGACCTCAGTGGAAATATTGGTGTACTACAAGAAAATGTTGGTGCATTTTGTTTCAGTTATGACATGCCAATTGACGCAACATGGGTCCGTACAAATAGGGTGTTTAATCAAAACTTTAGAAAAGGTGCAATCAAAAATGAAACCTCCACTAATACTGGACTACATCACCTAAAAACTTTTGGCAGCCATAAAAATAGCAAGTGACTT